AATAGGAGGGGACTTACTGGGAGGAGGAAGTAGACCCAGAGTGGGCAGGGGTGAGAGATGGTAATAGGGGGGGTAAAAATGACCAAACTTCATTATATACAAGGATAGAATTGTTAAGCCCAGTCCACAAGACTTGCGGAGAGACCACCAAAGAGCCGACTCCCGGAATGCAAGCACACAAGGTTTCTTTATTCAAGCCTAGGCAGAGACTTGGTTCCCGAGGCTCTTATGTAACCCTATATAAAGACTAAAACCACAGGATAGGGTGAGGGATGCGGGTTCAAAGCTGATTGGTTGGGGTGTCTAGCGGAACTTGGGGCATTTCCATTGGTTAATCTTTGGTGCAATGAGTACCCATAAAAGTTGTTGATGAACCCGGAGTATCTGTTCTTTCTGCTGGAGTCAGGTCTTGTGTGGTTATCTGTTCTTCCTGATGGCCTGCTTTTCCTGGAACTGGGTGGGTGATGTGAGCCAGTCTGCACAGGTTATTGAGAGAAGATCCCATAGTCAGTTTCTGGCCCTCTTTTCTAAAATGGCCCTGGTTTGATCTCTCACTGTAAAAGAATTTCTAAGTTCTGGTGCTTTTATATAAAGACATTATTGCAAGCTAATTAGCATTCATCTCACATCTGATTTCATTTAAGATCTCAGCAATTTCAGATATATATTTATAAATTATTTATATGTCTTTATGCCCACCGTTCTGTGAATGTGGTGTTGTCACTATGAACAAATTTGTGCCCTTGAAACAATATCCCCATTTCCAACCCCTCCTCAGTTACTTCCTAGATTTGCATTTGAAATGAAGGACCTGCTTATCTTAGTGGCACTGGGTTTTCAGTCAGGGAATTAATTCTGCAATGTTCTGGCAACTGCCAAATAATTGTGAGCTTTATAAATCACAAGTTAAGCTTGACCTTTTCAGTCAGCCTGCTAATTCTGAAAGGTCTGTGCCTGAATCCCTGTTCTAAGTAGGTGTGACACTGTCTAGGATGAGAAATTTTAATAATTTCATATCGTGCTACTGGAAATAAAGACTTACAGTTTTATATGTCTTATAGTTTTCATGGTCTTGATTACTGTTCAGTGACATTTCAGTTGCCTAGGACAGTTAAGACAGTTTAGAAAAATCTAGTGACATATTTAAAATCTTATACTAACCCATCACTCCAAATAGTCGGGATACAACTTTTGATAACCTGCCTTTTAAACTTCAAATACTTTTACATGTGAGAATTTACACTTTTCAATTTATTTGTTAGCCTCAATACATTTACACATTTCTTTGCATCTTTCCGAATATAAGTATCTACTACAACTCGATTAGATAATATGTGCCAGTTCTATCTGGGAACACATGCACAAAACTCAGGGCCAGGTGTGGTGCCATAGGCCTTTAATCCTAACACTGGAGAGGTAGAGGCAGGCTGATCTTTTGTGAGTATGAAACCAGCCTGGTTCCGGGTCAGCTAAGGCTCATGGTGAGACCCTGTACCAAAGTAAGTACTGTGAAACTTGGGTGGAGTGTGATTAAAACCTTTTTTTAGGTAAGCTACGTCCTAGAAGTGCTAGTCTGGATCAATTTACTTTGGTATTGCAGACTTGACAACTCCTTTCTCTCATCTCCCAAGTTACTTCCTGAAGACCATGGAATCAACATGGATTTTAAATCTTTCTCAGAGATCTTCAAATTCTATTACATCCAGTAGCAAACCTAAGTCTCCAGCGTCCTCTAACCTGTTATTTCCTGCTTCCCCAAATTCTGAAGGTGGCACACTGCCCAGAGCTCTCAGTACAACACAATAAAAACTCTTCTCTGGAACCCACTTTACCTGGGATGCCTCCAGGTGCTCCCAAATCTCCCTGTGATGCTCAGTTGCCATGCCAGTGCTTGTAGACTTGTGTCCTCCCCATTCAGCGAACCTTCCCATTAGTTCTGTGTCTTCAAAATCACTAACCTTTTCTCAATCACATTTACCCAGGAGGACCTCTGCCAGTTATTAGTTAGATCTATTTTAACTCTACAAGTGTCATAGCAACAACTGACATTTGCTTAGCCAAAAAATGTATTGTGTCTGCCAACAGCTGAACATTAGTAAATGGAAATTTTTATGTACCATTTCAGTGTGGATTGCTAATATAATGTGATTCTAAGACTTTGGAATTGGAAGCAAATGTTTCTAAGATTAGGTAATTTTAAATAGGAAAGAGCTAGAAAAATTTAGAAAATTTTAAAAATCAGTCTTCCATATAATCTTAACACATCTGATACCATTTTTGACTGTGTTGTCCCTATATGTATATGTGTGTATATGTATACATGTATGTGTGTGCATATATGTGTATATTTAAATATAGCATGGATTCAAGTATAATATTGATATAAAACATACATGCTTTAAGTATCAATTGAATTTTGTTGTCTTTTTGAAGTCATAGTATTTCTAATGAATATTTTAATTCATATGTATGCTATATAATATTTTAATTTAACCTGTTATTGCATATTCAGGCTGCTTCTTATTTTTCACCATCATAAAAAATATTGTAAAGGAAATATGTGTATAGCTCCCCTCCACTTTTTGAGGGGGGGGGTTAGTCAGAAGACAGGTCTCATTGTGTAGCCACCTCAGACTCTCAATCATCTTGCCTCAGCCTGCCTAGTCCAGCATTAGGGATATGGACCACTATATCCAGTCCAAAGTATTGTTCTTTTTGTTGTTGTTTCTTTGTTTTTGAGACAAGGTCTCAATATGTAAACCTAGCTGGCCTAGAATCTGCTGTGTAGATCAAGATGGCCTTGAATTCACAGAGCTCTGCCTGCCTCTGCCTCCTAATGCTGGATTAAAGGTGTGCACCACTATGTCTGACTGCATGTGTTGTTCTTTTTTTAAGATTATTTTTGTTTTATGTGTACAAATGTTTTGCTTGCATGTATGCCTGTGTGCCATGTACATGCCTAGGACTTACAGAATCCAGAAGAGAGCACTGGATTCCTTGGAACTGGAGTTAAGCGTGGTTATGTGCCGCCACGTGGGTCCTTGGGATCAAACTCAGGTCCTCTGTAAGAAGAGCAAGTCAAGTACTCTTAGCCACTGAACCATCTTTCTAGCCCATTATGTATTGTATCAATATTATCGAATGATTTTACAAAGAGCTATACCAAGTTAAACAGACTACTGCTAGTCCTGTGTATAAGTGACTCATTTTACAAACAAATGTATACAAGATCTTCACATATGGATAGGATTAAATTATATGAAAAGTTTGCATTTTGTGACCTGGGCAACAACATTAGGATCAATAGGGAATGAATAGGCTTTGTGTTACTACACATTGAAATTAATAATTAGTGTATCATTCCCTTGACATAATTTTTTAAAGAGGAGGTACCACCTATTCTCTTCAATTGATCACCTTATCACCACAAAAAAAATTAATGAGAGATTTCTAGAGTGATTTCTCAGAAATTTGGTACTAAGATGTGACTTATATCACAAGCAACCAAATTACTGCCTCTACCACAGTATTTCATTCTGAAATACTTTTGTCATCACTGAAAGAGCAGACTCGGCAGGATCTGTGAAGAGGCTAAACAAGCCAATCAATGAGTATTACCTTGTGGAAGGACTACTTTATAGTTGAAGATATGGTTACACAATTATTACTAAACTAGTTTCAAAATCATTAGGTACCAGACAACCAGCTGAGTAAGTAGCTAGCTTCCTGGAAAAGGTTTTCATCTTTATCACAGAACTGCTGAAGCATGTTATCAGGAAGGCATTTTTATCCAGAAGGAAATTATGTCCCAAGGTTTGAAGTAATTTTTCTTTATCATATCCCAATTTAATTTTGAAAACTCGGGGTGGCTAAGGGCCAAGGACTAAGGACTAAGTCATTTTACCTCTTCTACCTCAGTATTGTTCAGGCTAGAGAGGAGGAAAGGCTTAGTTGATCCCTTTCTTTAATATCATACTACTTAACCGGGAGTTAAAAGGAACAAGTGCCAATGTGGCTCTCTGAGGTTGGCAAATATTAGAAGCTGAGTTATGGCTTTGCCACAGCACCAATCACTGATGGAGTCTTTGGTGGATGGTGCATTATTCCACTCCCATTTCTGATTAAAATATGACCCTCCAATCTTGTATTTTTGGTTGTGAGCCTAGCCTTTAACGGCCGAGCCTTCTCTCCAGCCCGACCCTCCAATCTTTAAGCTCAGTCTTTTCCCCAGTAAAAAAAAATAAAAAGACATCTGGATGGGTCCACTTCAAAACAGGCTGGTCACAGACTCAGCCTTGCCCCTTTCCATCCCATCTCATGCCTGGGTACTCGACCCTGCCAATGATGAAGGCACAGCCTGCTCTGGGTTCCCTGTTACTCTACTCGGCTTTGCTGACATTGTCCAGGCTTCTCTAGGACTTTACTCTCCTTAGGTTGGCCCAACTACCAGTCTTTTCTAGCTCCAAAGAGTTAATACCAAGCTCTCAAGGCTTCTTTTAAAGACAATCTAACTGTGCTTGGGATAAATAGAAACTTCTCACCATACCCACCCCACACTCTCACAGTGAGGTGAAAAGATCTCAGCTCCTTGGTTGCCATGATCCCACGGGGTTCAGGTCCTGAGACAGGGAAGGGGTGTCAGTTGAATTGTCTGACCATCAAATGATTTTCACACAAGCTTGAGACATCTTTATTTATACTTAAAAAAAACAAGCATGTTTTTCCCCATCCTTCAGAGTTAACCTCCAGCAAAAACAAATATGTCAAATAAAGTTTTTTTTCCAACTATTACATCAAACAACCTTTAAACCTAAAACAACACTCAGCATGTTGTTAGCTTGGCTATATATCAAGCCAGGCACATCCTGTCTTTACAAA